TTTTTTTCACTTACTTATTGGTAAACACTTAACAGTATATAAATGAAGAAACTAAAAAATACATTATTTATTTCTGTTATTGTTACTTTTAGAAAAATCTGTGGGTTTTGTTATATAATTAAACCACCCAATTGACAAGTACACCTCCACGTCTGAAAAATACAATACAAAGGAGAAAATGAGGATAAAAATAATAATAATAAATGCATTATTCGCAAGTACTCATTTAGTGTTAACCGAATGATTCCGTCATTATTATTTATTTTTTTTTTCGAAACGACAAAATTTATATATATCAAAAATCCAGCTCAGGCCGAAGCCAATACAAACCAAAAATAGGAGGATCAACAATTCCTCTCTTGACATACCAAAGAGTTAAATCGGTCTCACAGCATGGACAAAGCTAAGGACCTATGAGCCCTAATCTATCTCCTCTAAACTAAACTCATTGAAGCACGAATCAAGATGGCATTCAAAAAATAATTCTCAAAACCTACTAAAAAGTAATAAACACAACCAAACCAGACGGAACCATCCTGTAACGGGACTGTAGTCATCCCCACAGATATATACAGTTGTGGTAAAATTTGAAACGTAGGTATTTTACGATAAGTGCGCTCAACGTTGTTAGAACACAAATAAACAACTAGAATAGCGGAAGCAATAAACCGAAGATTTAAAAACTCTTCCGGGAAGCGTCCCACTTCCCCTAAGAGCTCTTTCATTGATAAACCGTTTGTGCACACTTGTATAGTTTTGTAATTACAGCAACTAGAACTCCCTTCTAGCCTAACCAACAACTACACACGATTCTATCAACTACTTCTCCGGCCACGTCCCGTGGACTTTTACTCTCGAATCCCTCGAGCTAAAATTTGTACTTAATCCCTAAGTATTGATCACAAAAGTGTTTGAATGAAAAAAACAAAAGAATCAAAACAAAAGACTTCAGTTCTTCGATAACGTAAGAACACCGAAAACTGAGCTACGAAAATAAAACCTAAAAGGTTTGAAGCTCGAATATTATGTAAATGATAATGATCTCTTCTACCCTGATTCGATCTTCAAGTGGGTATATATACAACTCCTTAGGCTTGGAGTCTTCTCCAAGTTTTAGACTTCTTTTTGATTTCCTTCCAAGTTTATCCAATGTAATATGGTAAGTGTAGGACTCTTCTTCTCTCACTTCAAGCAATCCTTCATTAATCTGATTTCCTTCCATGTAAATCATAAGAGATATGGTAGGTGTAGATCTCTATCTTCTCTTTCCAAAGATCTTTCCTTCTTATATGATTTCCTACAAAATATATCCATGCAAATCTAATATATATATATAAATATAATTATAAATAAATTCGAATATATAAATATAAATATAAATAAAAGAACTTTCCTTTTTATTTCTCATGCTTGCAAGAACATATCTTCACTTATATTAATTTTTGAACTTCATTGCCAAAAATATAACTCTTTCAAAATTTAACACTCAAATAAATACATTGTAATATAAGAAGTCTAACTACACGGACCACGTGAATGAGAGCCTGGTCGGGGCGGCCCCTGCAGGCGTGGCGACCCACGCGGCCGAATCGACCCACCTGAGCCCGTGTGCATTGTCCGCCGAGTAACCTCCGTCGGCCGAGTGGTACTTCCCGGTCCGCATCGAGTAGAACACGTGCCCACCGCTACTTCCTCCTCCGAACAGCGGGAAGTAAATCCGTCCCGACACCTCATCCGAACGAGCCTCGCGCGCAAACGACGAGGCGTTGGCTGAGGCACAACACCTTTCCCCCCAAATCCTCCACCCTCTCCCACCTCATCGCCTCCCCGTCGGGAACGAGCCTGAGCACAACGACCCTTCTCTTGTCCCCGACCACAAAAACCGCAAGCGGTTGCTCCTCCTCGACTTCCAACATGAAGTGGTCCGTAATGCTGCCCTCCCGGCTCAGGTTCCCCGGGTGCTCGATCCAAACTCCTTCGCCCTTGGCGGCGCCGTACTTCGCCACTTGCCCGCGGGCCCCCAAAAAGTGGATCCACCCACCGTGCATGACCGGGAAGGCATACGACGCGAGGAAGTGGGGCCCACAAGCATGCACACGGTGCTTCCTCGCGCTGTCCCCACGCCGGAGCAAACCGATGTTGACGGTGTTAGAAAGGAACACGGTAGAGAACGCGACGACGGTGCACTCTCGGTGGGTAGGGGGTGGAAGAAGCAGAGGGTCGTGTACGGGCAAGTGGGCCCGGACGGCAACTCGACCCTGCGGCTGCCGAACGGGTCGAGATAGAAGGCGGTGTTGTCGTGGCGGGAGACGAGCAGCCAACCGTGCTAGGAGCAGCGTATCTCGGCCTTCTCCAGCTCACGGAGGCGCGTGGTGAGGAAGCCCATGTGATGGGGAAACTCCCACGTGCGCTAGCTTGCTCCTATGGTTTTGCACGAGGCAGGTCGAGTGGCGGAAGCATGAGTTACGGTGGACATTGTTCCACGATCGGCACACCAGACTGAACGCGCGTTTATCGTCGTCATTCGACGGCTTCGATTGGATCAAATCAAGGAGCTCCGGAAGAAATTCGTCCCACCTGCTTCCCATTATGTCTGCTATGTAATGAACCTGTATAAACGAAACACTAAACAGCTCAAATTAATTGTGCAAATTATATATATGGGGATTGATTGTGCTGTTCATATATTTAATATAATATTTTCCTTCGCAGAATAGGAAACGGACAAATAAATAACAAAACCAAAATTTTGTATTTACATGTAAAAGATGATTATTTATCCGACTTTCCTATTTTTCCTCCTTATATGCAATTATATAATAATATAATATATTTGGCTTGTTCCAAAAATCACTTTTTATTTTCGTAACTAACTACCTGATTATATTATATGAGCCGTCTGTATGTACAAACTCATGAGTTATTATAAATTACTGCCAACTAGGAATAGGGCAAGCACGGCGTCATGTAACTGAATTGGTACTATATATATATGATCTCAATCAATATAATTAGGATTTTACTTCCTCCTCCGAACAGCGGGAAGTAAATCCGTCCCGACACCTCATCCGAACGAGCCTCGCGCGCAAACGACGAGGCGTTGGCTGAGGCACAACACCTTTCCCCCCAAATCCTCCACCCTCTCCCACCTCATCGCCTCCCCGTCGGGAACGAGCCTGAGCACAACGACCCTTCTCTTGTCCCCGACCACAAAAACCGCAAGCGGTTGCTCCTCCTCGACTTCCAACATGAAGTGGTCCGTAATGCTGCCCTCCCGGCTCAGGTTCCCCGGGTGCTCGATCCAAACTCCTTCGCCCTTGGCGGCGCCGTACTTCGCCACTTGCCCGCGGGCCCCCAAAAAGTGGATCCACCCACCGTGCATGACCGGGAAGGCATACGACGCGAGGAAGTGGGGCCCACAAGCATGCACACGGTGCTTCCTCGCGCTGTCCCCACGCCGGAGCAAACCGATGTTGACGGTGTTAGAAAGGAACACGGTAGAGAACGCGACGACGGTGCACTCTCGGTGGGTAGGGGGTGGAAGAAGCAGAGGGTCGTGTACGGGCAAGTGGGCCCGGACGGCAACTCGACCCTGCGGCTGCCGAACGGGTCGAGATAGAAGGCGGTGTTGTCGTGGCGGGAGACGAGCAGCCAACCGTGCTAGGAGCAGCGTATCTCGGCCTTCTCCAGCTCACGGAGGCGCGTGGTGAGGAAGCCCATGTGATGGGGAAACTCCCACGTGCGCTAGCTTGCTCCTATGGTTTTGCACGAGGCAGGTCGAGTGGCGGAAGCATGAGTTACGGTGGACATTGTTCCACGATCGGCACACCAGACTGAACGCGCGTTTATCGTCGTCATTCGACGGCTTCGATTGGATCAAATCAAGGAGCTCCGGAAGAAATTCGTCCCACCTGCTTCCCATTATGTCTGCTATGTAATGAACCTGTATAAACGAAACACTAAACAGCTCAAATTAATTGTGCAAATTATATATATGGGGATTGATTGTGCTGTTCATATATTTAATATAATATTTTCCTTCGCAGAATAGGAAACGGACAAATAAATAACAAAACCAAAATTTTGTATTTACATGTAAAAGATGATTATTTATCCGACTTTCCTATTTTTCCTCCTTATATGCAATTATATAATAATATAATATATTTGGCTTGTTCCAAAAATCACTTTTTATTTTCGTAACTAACTACCTGATTATATTATATGAGCCGTCTGTATGTACAAACTCATGAGTTATTATAAATTACTGCCAACTAGGAATAGGGCAAGCACGGCGTCATGTAACTGAATTGGTACTATATATATATGATCTCAATCAATATAATTAGGATTTTCTCATCTTCTCTCTCTTTGGCTTTCGGGTACAGAAATCGATTACTCAGGTAAAAACTTTGTTCCTTGTTCATCTCAACCGACATTCAACTCTCATATTTCTCTATGTAACTAATATCGCTGTTAATTATTCTTGATTTAATTGATCACGGAGAATTCGAATAGGATTTTCACCATGTATGTATTTGGGTAGTAATTATACATATATATGTATATCAAATAAATAAGATGATGATATGTTGTAGTATATCTACTAATAATAAAACAGTGTATCCATATTTTTATTTTTATTCACGTAGATCCGACTCCTCTTTTATTCATGTAATTGATTGTATCAAATTTATATTTACACGAGTGATCATAATAACAATAAGTTGGTGATCTTGTTTTTATGTATATCCATGGTGTAGGAATATGAGAAAGAATAATAATAATAAACCTCCGTTGTTGTTGACGCCACATTCTAATGTACAATCTTTCTACAGCGTGTTGGATAAGGAGAGCCGAACTGCATCCATTCCGGTCCTCTGCAACAATCAGTTGGGACCACGGCTGGCTCGTCCTCGTGGACCGCGACACAGCCGATTGCTGCCTCTGGGACCCATCGTCCATCTATATTACACCGACATGACACACATGATTATTTATATCTATGATTTGGAAATGGGAAGCATATGTACCAACCCTTTGCCAACTTCTCATGTTCGCAGAGAAGTTAACCTTTGGGTCGGCCCAACCCACATTTTGGAACCGCTCCTTCAAAAACACATTGTCACTTCACCACCTACAAATTAAACTTATATGTATTTGGTTGATAGCTAGCTAGGTTCCTTAATTATTTTCTCCCCCTTTCTCCACTGATGTGACAGTTAAACTTATTTGGGTGGAAAAATAGTGAATTAAATTTGAGGTGATGTGTAAGCATGATTAGTTGATGGTACTTAATCAGTTAAATGTTAAAGTTGAATTAAATTTTGAGTATGAATTGAATATGGATGGAAAAATTTTATAAACAAACACCCTCTTAATGTTTGCAGTTTATGAAAAAAAAAAAATGATGGTCGTTTCTTTATCCTAATAATAATAATAATAATAATAATAATAATAATAATATTCCTTCAATCCAACCTATAAGATTATGTTTCTTATGTCGTTTGAAAAAAAAAAATTATAAAATTATGTAAATTGTACCAAATATTTTCTCTATCAACTTGGTTCCTAAATCTTTGTTTTTTCTTACTTGGTTAACACACCAAATCTCTCTTTTCGGAATACATTATATAATTTAAATAAATGAATGGTTAACAGTTTGCTCATTTGCTAAGCTTGATAAGGCACAGCTTATGATCAAACGAAGTGATCTCAATCTCATTAAAAACTCATTAAAGGTTGCTCGAGTACAATGAGTTGGAACTCGGCTCGATTATACCTCTAATCATGTGCTCGTTTCTAATCTGACAAATGTAAGTAAATTATGTTGGGGTGTGAAGATTAGTCAAAGGAAGGGAGCTTCTTCACAACTTCCTGATCAAAGAAAGGGAACTTCCTCGTAAGTTCCTAGTCAAAGGAAGGCTACTTCCTTGGAACTTCCTGGTGAAAGGAAGGGAGCTTCCTCGCAACTTCCTCGCAAGAAGGATTTGTTTGGCTATAAATACCTCATTTTGTAACCTCATTTGTATCCAATCCAAGTGAAAGAAAGAAACACATAAGTGAAAGAAAAGAGTCGAGAGAGTGTATTCATACGGGTTTGTGTGAGTTGTAACACTCGGTTTATCCTCTTCTTTTAGTTCGTTCTCCTGGCTTGGTTCGCCCCCAGACGTAGGATTTAATCCGAACTGGGTTAACAAATCTTCGTGTCTTTTATTGATTTCATATTGGTGTGTTATTATTATTCCATATTATCCGACCTTATTACCCAACAAATTAGTGATGTTTTCAGTATAAAAATCAAACATGCAACCAAAATCATAGCAGGCAACAAAATCAATAAAGATCTAATTTTAACGATTTCAATATAAAAATCAAACCTTGGAGCAAGACAATATGCTCCAGACAGAGACCAGGATGTCATTCATAGGCACTCCCAATTACAAGATCATTTATTTCTCACTCAAAGAATTAAGTTTTGAGAAAAAATAAATATACAACCAGCATCTATTCGAACATAAAATATTTTCTACACAATTTAATTAAATAAAAAACACAACATATACTAAATATCCACTGATTATAAACGCAATATATATTTTTCTAACATTAATTCTTCAGTATGGAATCACATTCACGATCGTGTAGTTTGTATATATTTATAAGATTAATGTCGTTTGAAATTTAAACTCATTATCTTTCTATTCTGTATTGAAACAAAACTAGTGTATATCCCGTGCGATGCACGGAGGAGCTCATATTTTAAACTTTTTTTTAGACTTTATTTTAAATATAATTATTTATATTTTTCACATCTCGTCTATTATGAAATTAAAATAAATGCAAAAAATAAAAAATATATATTATTAAATACTTCTCTTTATACAATATTTTTTATTTAAGGAATATTATCAAATCTATATGATTGTTAACGTACAAAAAATAATGAAAATAATCCAGACTTTAAAGTAAAACTATTTTTTTATTATTTTACAAATAAAAATCATCCATTTTTTTTATTTCAAAAAAATTTGGCAAGTTTGTTAATGAGTTAAATCAAGTTATACAAATGATTAAATAGTTAAACTATTATATTAATTATATTTTAAGAAATCCGATTATATAAATGTGGGTAAAAAAATATTATGCTAATTAGTTTGTTAGGATTGTGATTATATGGAATTTAAGATAAAATGAAATGTAACCAAAAAATCTGTTCGTAGTCTTTTCCTTTAAATGTTTGAATTTAAAATTATATAACCAAATTTACATTATATCACATAAGGAAAAATAAATAATAATATTTATGAATATGTTTAAAAATTTAATTTTGAATTTCAAATAGAGTAGAAGACGGAATAATTCAAATTTGTTTTCAAAACGTTTTTAAAGTCTTTAATATTCTGGTAAGTATACCCGTAAGAATAATCTTACTATTTTAATTTCAAAAATTTTGGCAAGTTTGTTAATAAGATAAATTCGGTTAGACAAAAGATTAGTTAGTTAAAATATTATATTAATTATATTTTAAAAATTCCAGTTATATAATTGTAATTGTATTAATTAATTAAAATGTGATTATATGGAAGTTAAGACAAAATGAAATGTACCCAAAAAATCTGCTTAGGATCTTTTTCTTTAAATGTTTGAATTTAAAATTTTAATATCGAATTTCGATTATATCACATAATGAAAAAATAAATATAAATGTTTATTAATATATTAAAATATGTAATTTTGAATTTCATATAAAGTATAAGGTATGATAATTCAAATTTATTTTTAAATAAAAGCTATGATAAACATTTATTGTTTCTCTTTCAAAATATTAATAAATAAAAATATAAATCCAAACAAATTTTGATAAAATGGAATGTACCCAAAAAATCTGTTTGTAATATTTCCTTTAAACAATTTTTTTTTTCAATTTTAAACAAAAGATAAACATAATCGGTTGAAAAAAAAAAGAAGTCAATATACTGCTAAAATAAAAATCTATTGTCCCTAATAAAATGGAACTTGAATTTATCCGATATGGAAGGAATCTCATCCAAAATATATTGAACTCATCCAAAACATACTGAATTTCGGAATGAAAAAATTTCAAATGTTCGAAAAAATTTCAAACAAAATTTTAGGAGAGAAAAAATGATTTGAGCGGTAAAATGAAATAATTTTTCAAACATTTTTTCTTCTCTCTATTATATAGTGATAGATTCTAATTTATAGAATATATAAACTTGCCATATTTTTTTTATAAAGTAAATATGAAATCCCTAACCTTTGCAATTTAAGGAGGCATTGCATCTCTTATTTGGTAAGTGATATATTGCATATGTACAATTAAATGTCATGTAATTGGTAAAGATGTAAATACAGTTCCCATCACGTAGATTACAATTAATTTAGAAAGAATTACCTGCTGGACGAGCCATCATAAGTTTTTTGCCCTAATAACGACATGACTTTTTAATTGTCAAACTTAACTTTATCTTTCCATTTGAACGAGAATTTTAACTTTATCTTTCCATTTGAACGAGAATTTTATTTTTTAAATACCACTTTCATTAGTTGCCCAATATTTCTCCCCATTTATTTTCGAGCAGACGTGAGAGGTCCAAAAATAAGTAGCCCAACGACAACGCCCTAAGGTCTGATGCGATGGAGGCGGCGAATGGGTACGAAGTCCAGGAGAGCATCTCCACCTCCGTGACGATCCCAGCGGACGATTTGCATCATAGCGCCATCGGAACCTCCGCCAACGTCTCCATCTCCGGCTCCCTCCTCCTGCCGCCTGCATCGTCCGCCGCCTCGAGGGTCAGCATATGACTCGTCGGGAGTAGGGACAACTAGTCGAAAAGGTGTGGTTTACTGATTTAGGGTTTATCTAGTTTTGATTTCCTTATTTTGTTGTTGGGGTTTAATTGATTGTTTATGACTGCATATACATGAGTTGCTGGTTCGTTTTGTTTCTAATGTTGCCAAATTTTCCTCNTGCTCAATTTTTCCTTTGTGTTTTGAAACAACAACGTTGAATTTTTTGTCTATGATTGATAATTGGGGTCGGATCCCATGTCCAGGTGAATTTAAGAATTTAACAAGAATAATTTGCCTCAGCTCGTCGGAGAAGAAGCGCTAGAATAATTCGACAGGTAATGATTATATTAGTTTAATTTCTATGTTTTATTTTTCTATTTTTCAACAAGATCTAAAATATTGGTTATGGATTTAAGCGGACAGAGGCCTGATAAGCAAACCGTTCATATGGCAATATTCTAGGATCATGGTGTTCAATCATCTGCCGGCCGATATGGCCAAAGAGATCATATTGCTCATCGAGCTTACCACCCACAGCGCGGTTGAACTCGCCACCAGCCGTGCGAGTGTAGCCCGCCTTTTAGGATGCATTTGAATCTGGTAAAAGAAAAGAATATTGTTATCAAATTTGCCATTATTATCTTAATAAGTTCTATATAAACTTGAATATAAACTTGAAGTAAACTCGGGAGAAATAAGATGTTTGAAAATTCTATTTAATTTCTGTCCAGGCTTCATAATTCCTGCCGTGGCTAGTTTATGGATATTTAGACGAGGCAACAATATGGATTTTGGGTACAGTTCAATGACTTGTATCCCGTGGGTGAGTTGGTGCACACTCGGCTCTGTGGGATGTTTGAGTCCTCAGGTACAGACAAAACTGAGTGACGTCTACCGTTTGGAGTGGTCCTGCATTTTGTGGAGTCGATTAGAGGGGATGACTTGGTTAGAATCTTGGATAGTCGTTTGGAGGTTTGTGGTGATGCTAGTTGGAAAACTTGTCGAGAAGTGCTTAGCGTGCTCGTCAATCGATAGGCCGACTATGAAGGAAGTCGTGATTGATTTTATCTGCATGAGTAGGGATTTTGGGTCAGGAGGCACGTGTTTGAGTTTCAGTCTGCAGGGGGCTTCTATGTTTTTAGGCAGTGAAACAATATAAGAGTTTCTATGAATTTCTATGGGGTTTGTAACTTTGTATATTGGTATGTAATATATTTATATTTTGAAGATGTTTACTGATGGTTTTTTTTTTTTTTTTTTTTGTTTTTTTTTTGAAATTTTATATTAAGTCTTATTTTTTATAAGATTTGTTTGTCAATTTGTGTTTCATGATATAGTTAAAAAAATAGATAATAAACTTTAGTTAAAATAGATAATAAACTTAAGATAAACTAGAGATAAACTAAAGATAAACTTAAGATAAACTAGAGATAAACTTAAGATAAATTAAAGATAAACTTAAGGTAAACTAAAAATAAACTAAAAAAGTTTATAAAAAAAAAAAAGATGATAGATTTAAAATAGAAAATATATCTATTCATAAAAATAGATAATATACTTAAGATAAACTAAAAGTCTCAAATTAATTTTTAATAAATTATAGAGATAACTTATAAACTAAAAATAAACTAAAAATAAACTAAAAAATTGGCTCATTAGTTGTCAAAATCTAACATTTTGTATTTAATTTTTTCATTAATTAAACTGTCAAACTATGATAGTTATCGTTTGCGAGCCGCCGGAAGAAACATTCCTTGCATTTCCGCCATATTAATCTCTCTCTCTCTTTCAAATTGTTTCTCAGGGGATTTTTTTTTTTAACTGTTTCATGTTTGGAAACTTACCTTGATTACAGTTTACACATATAATTGGCATCAATTAGGGCTGAATGAAAGACCACGAGCAGCATAGATTACTTTCCATTTTTTGGGAAAGTTAATTTTCTTGGGTTATAAAAGAAGGAATTGATATAACTGTGATTAACTTTTGAATCTCGTTTTTTTGGCATTAACGTTATTTTGATGTGTATACATGTACTTTAGCCATTAATTTATCCGCCAAAATAAAAAATAAATAATAAAAAAAGTAAGAAAAAGGGCCAAATTCTTTGGGCTGGCCCAATTGATTGTTCATATCAAGTTGCTAACTGCCACATGTAAGTATGTAACTGTTAACCTGGTCTGAATTTTTCTAGAAGTCCTCCAACTTTGTCGAATTCCTATTTCTGCCCCCAAATCTCTTTTCAATTCCCCCTTTCCAATTTCCATTTCCAGTCGATCATAATCATCAACAAAGCTATCTGTACTCCCCACCCAAAAACCCATTGAATTTGAACCCATCACCAGTCTCATCAAATTTTCCACTTCGAAGAACGAATGGACCCTAATTTCTCCGGAAAACCACCAGGCCGAGCGGATTTGGACCAGATGCCCGACACGCCTACCCGCCGGGTCCACCACCGGCGGGCCCAGTCCGAGACCTTCTTCCGCTTCGATGACTTCGACGACATGCTCCTCGACGGAGTTCTAGCTGACTTGAGCATCGACGTCACCGAAAACAACCCTTCCCTCCTCCCCGCCGGACCGCCGCCGCCGCCGCCGGTGGCCCAGCCCAAAAATAACGGCGAGGTCAAGCCCATGGCCCATTTGAGGAGCCTTTCGGTGGATGCGGACTTCTTCGATGGGCTTGGATTGGACGGCGGCCCGCCGGCGGCGGCAGCTTCTTCCGGGCAGAGGCACAAGCGTAGCAGCTCGATGGATGAGAACTCCAGCGGTACTTCGTACGAGGCGGAGTCTGGTGCGAAGAAGGCTATGGCGGCCGATAGACTTGCGGAGCTTGCTTTGATTGACCCCAAGAGAGCAAAAAGGTTTGACCTTTTTTCACTGCGTTGATTTGTTTATTTATTTTTTGGTAGTTTTACTTGTTCTTTTTCTGTTTTTCAGGGATTAGTTAGATTGTAGTTGAAATGGGTTCTGAGTCCTGGAGTTACTATTGTGATTATAGAATTATTTTGCGGGTTTTGAACTTTTGATGGACAAATGTTTTGAGCTTGC